ACATCCCGAGGACATAATCTGTTTTGGTGGCTGTTATAAATTTTCCAATGGCACACTTCATCCTGTCGTAGAGCAGTGATGTTTTTCGTATTGCCAAATGTCCTCTGCAAAATTGCCAAATTTCATGGATTACCTTCATCCATTGTGTCCTGATAGATATTTAAATCTATAGGTTAGTTTTGGAAGAACCTTTTGCAAATTATGTGGAAGTAGTTCAAAATTTTCATCAGCTTCCCATCCTTAGAGTAATGGTCAATCGAAGCTTGGGTGACCTACTCCGATGTCTGGTAGAGGAAAAACAAGATAATCGGATTTAGTTTTATCCGTTGCTGAATTTTCCAATAATAACTCTGCTAATAACTGGTAGAAGTCCTTTTGAAATTGTTAATAGATATTCTCCTCGAACACCTCAAGACCTTCTCCCAGTACCTCCTAATAGTAAAATTTTTTGCGCTTGTTGAATCTTTTGTCAAACATATTCATGACTTACATGTTGAAATTAGGTGAAAGATTGCTTTAAGTAATATGGATTATAAACTTGCAACAGACTTGCACTGTAAAGCTACAGAATGCGTGCAGATGTCTTTATTGTAACTTGTATCCATCTTGAACAATTTTTTTAAACAAATAGTATGGAATGTATCATTAATTATAAACACCAAGGGAGTGTAAACTCATGTACAAAACTATTTACACGTCAAACAGGATATCAATAAGGTCCCCTCACTCCTCTATATAATACAAAGGATGACCCGTGATTAAAAGCCAAGGTCTGAAACCATGTATCTCTAACTCTATCAAAATCACCACCCAAACTATAGAAAAGGGAATGAGACTCATGTTTTTTTCCACCACTAATAACCTTTATGGCCCAAATCTCATCCCTTACACTATACCCCATTACCCGACTAATCCTCAGGAGCCCATACACCACTGTCCATGACTTTTACACAAGTGGGAACCACAGTATGTTGTGATTATAAGACTCCTCTGCCTTCCTGAATAGAAAACATCAATTCACCATAATCTTTCCTCTAGTCATTAACTTGTCAATGATGAGAATGCATCCCCTCTCTACCTCCCAAGCAAAAAAGAAAAAGTAATTATGAGAGGAGCATTCACCTTCTAGATTTGCTGGAAAGGAAAGCTGGACTCTGGGGTCTTTCTTAACCAAGTAGTTACAGAAAGACTTAACTATGAATGTCCCTGCCACATTGAGGCCTGAGACTGGTTGATCATTACTACCATTCAAATAGGTTAGAGATAGTGATCTGAGAAGGGATTCATACTGGTTAATCTCTCAGTCATTAAGGTTTTTCATCACCTCCACATGTTATTCCCTTCCCCCCTAATGTCTCTGAGTGACTCATTAACTGAGATATTTTTGTGTTTTGCAATAACAAATATCTGAGA